CATCGCGTACTCGACTCGACCTACACTACCAACTTCTGTTAAGACATCTTCGGAGCCTCCTCAACCTAGCTCAAAAGGGGTGGAGTCGGGCTTAAGTGCCCGAGCCAACCTGGTACGCAATGTACTGGCCCTTCGTCAGCAGCAAGTACCCCTTCTTCCTGGAGCGCACGATCTCCTTGGTGAACTCCCTGATCAGCCCGACCACATCGCTGAGCGCGGCGCGGGCCTGGAAGGTGGCCCCTCGGCGACCTTCACTGCGACTGCCACTGCCCCTGGACGTCATCAACACCTTGATCATGTCCCTATACTGCGCGGGCGACTTCGTCTTCATCTTCTCCACGGCCTGCTTGAGCGAAGGATCCTTGGCACATTTGTTCTCCATGGACCGCTTTGCCAGCCCGCACTCGTAGTGGCACATCTAGCAGCGGTACCTCTTGTCGCCATCCGCGATCACCAAGCCGCACTCGGTGCACACGGCGCCGCCCTCCGTCAGATTGGATGCGTCGAAACCTTCGCTGAGGCGGCTGCCACCCGATCGATCCGATGCTACCGACTGGGATCGACCTGAAACTGACGGCGACCTCGCACTCGTAGCACGCGTGGCAGCAGGAGACGTGGACCGTGGTGGCGAGAGGTGCATCCTGGCTCTCTTGCCGTCGAGCTCGGCGCGGCTGGGGCCCCTCTTCGCCGCCGCCGCTGCCCGCCGACCCTCCTCGGCGCGGCGGCGCGGGCTGGCAACGGACGAGCCCCCCTCGCCTCGGCTGCTGCCGAGGCGTCGCTGCCCGCGCCTAGGCCGCGAGCTCCTCGAGCGCGCCCGCCCGCGCGAATCCGCGGGGGGCCTCGAGGGAAGCCTGCTGCGATGCGAGTCTGCGACGGACGCTGGCGGCAGCATCTGTCGCGCCGCGGGCTCCAGGAGTGGTTGTCAGTCCATGCTGGGATCAAGCTTGGCCCTGAACGCAGGCTGCCAGAGGGGGAATGTCGGGGGGGGGGGGGGCAGGAATGTCTGGGGCCTCCTTGGAGTGTCTTAGGCCTCCTTGGAGTGTCTGGGACTCTGGGACTCTTGGGGCGTTCGCATCGCCGTCTGAAGCAAGCCCAAGTGTTTGGGGTCTCTTGGGCCTCCTTGGAGTGCCTGGGGCTCTGGGACGTTAGCGCCGCCGGCTGAGGCGGGAGGGCGTGGGGCGTTAGCGCCGCCGTCTGGGAGGTTAGGACAGCCGCTTCAACAACCTTATCGTGGGGATACCCCTGTGAACGATAGTGTCAACGAGGAGGCATGACGAGAAGGACAATGAAAATAGGAAGGTGATGCCAACGCGGAGGTGGCAACGAGGAGGGCGCTGACGGGGGAGGCCCAACCGCAACGAGGGGGCTCTAATGAGGAGGCGGACGCTGACGAGGGGAAGGGGGCTGACGAGGGGAGCCTGAAGAGTGAGACAAGGCCAACGCGTCATCAATGATGATAGCACAGCCGCGCGAAGCATAATAGGAGGATCCGCCTGAAACTCACGCATCGACAAACGCATGCCCAGAGGCTGTCGCGGATCTGGCTCACTGTGCCCTTATCACAAGAGGACAATGCGAACAACTGCTCCATGCATCAACTGAAAAGCGATCCTCGCCAGCACGTCCGCGCCTAGGGACATCCCCACATGTCCCTGGAACATCCCCACAACATCCCCAGAACATCCCCATATGTCCCTGGAACATCCCCACATCACCCCAGTACATCCCCACATGACCCTAGAACATCCCCACTATATCCCCAGAACATCCCCACATGACCCTGGAACATCCCCACAACATCCCCAGAACATGCCTCAAGCTCCTCTGTCATGCGTTTACGCACTGCTCTATGCTCCTGTGATGCATGGTGTCTTCCTATGTATGTTATGTTGAGCACTGCACCGTCCTCCTGTCATACCCTTCCTCGCCCTACGCGTGACCTCACCGCCCTACTCGAGATCTCCTCGCCCTACGCCTGACCTTTCATACCCCTCATCGTTACACACCCTGAGTGCAGCTTGCATATGGTTGACCTGGCCCAACGTCACCGTCGACATACTACTCCCGAAGCTGTCGAACTACTACTCGAAACCGTTTACTGTCGAAGTACTACTCGACACCGTCGAACTACGTCTCGAAACCTACTATTCTCGAAACTGTCGAACTACTACGCGACACCGTGAGAACTACCCCAGAAGCCCTGTCGAACTAGACTCGGAACTGTTTACCCAGAGCCCCTGTTTTACTCACAACCCATGTGACTGTTTACTCAGCCACAGCCCAACTTAAGAGTAAAGCTAGCAATGCTTGCACACGAATCCCTGTGCACGGCCTATTCGGGACCTCTACTGCGACGCATTGCGCAGACAATCGCAACTGCCCCCCGCCAAGCAGTCCAGAACAACATCGCAGCTGGCCAGGCCACTCAGGAGTCACTCAGATGTCATTGACTCATTGACCACCCTCTGCTTAGAACCTCAGGGATTCAAAGTGCCAGAGGCCCAGCGGCGGCGCTTCCTCTGCGGGGTCTCGCCGTCGGCTTCTTTCTCGTCACCGATGGAAGCGTCACCGTCGCCGATGGAAGCAGCGTCGCCGTCGGCGATGGCAGGCGCCGCCGAACTTGCACTGCTAGAAGCCGCCGAACTGCCACCGCCAGAAGACGCCGCCGAACTGCCACTGCCAGAAGCAGCACGAACTGCCACTGCCACAGGCGAGCTCTGCTTGTCGAGCTCCTCCCTGACCCTGTCCCTCGCTTTGTCGATGGCGTACTGCTCCCGACGCAATCTATTGCGACGGTCGACGCCACTCTCCACCTTCTCGTGGACCTTGCCGTCCTGGCAGATCACCGCGGCGCGGCTCAGGAAGTGGACCTTCTTGTGGAAGTTCGGGTCTTCCACGGTGCCCTTGAACTTGCAATTCTTCTTCATGGCGACGGCGTCCTTCTGGCGATCGCCACTGGAGCTGCTGCCGTCGTCATCGCCAGTGGAGCAGCCGCCGTCGCCATCATCCGTGAGTGCTCTGAGAAGCTTGACAATATGCGACTTCATGTTCAGGGAGGCAATCACAATGCTTTGGGATGAGGCCCTCTGGTTGAGCTCGACGTTGCAGGTAACCAAGGCGTCATTCTCAATGATAAAAGCGTCTCGCTCTTTTGTCATCGTTAAGAGGCGTTTGCTCAAGTACTTGATCATGTTTCCTTTGTTCGCGGCCATGAGGCCGAACTCCTGGGCCTCCACTGCCAGATTCATGTCGGACTGCTGGGGGGTGGCATCGTCGGCGGGCGACGCCATAGCGCCTGCGCTGCAAGCGCGAGAGAGACCGAGTTGGCTGGTCGAGTCGGTCAGCTTACGGCTTGAGCCAAAATGGCGACTGCGAGCGCCCCGCTCCCATGTCCCCGAAAGCCTGTTACATGGGGGCCGGGGCGTACTCTGAATGAAAGGAGGCCGGCTTCGTATTTGAAGGAAGGCATGCGGATTGAAATATGGGGGCCAAGAAGGCCCCATGGGTAGAGGGCCCCTAACAAAATAGTTCATCGTGTTTACGCCATGGGGCCCTCCTGGAATCCTCTTGAAACCATGCCGAAGTCCAAAGTCCAATCGGAAGCCCTCGGGCCCCCAGGCCGACCACAGGGGGTCCATCTCAGGTCCCTTGGATACCGCCCTTGTTGCATGAATGCGTGGCATGCTCGACTAGCTTGTTTGCTCGACTCGTTTTGCTTGACTCCTTTTTGGCTAGACTCGTTGTTTGCTGGACTCGCAGCGCGTGCCTGGCCAGCTCAGCGCAGTGCAGCAGTGCACGCCAAACAAGGGCGAAGGTGCCAAGGCGCAATGAAACGTCACAATACTGAGTAGTGATCACCCCTCCCCCCTCACCCCCGCTCCTTCCCCCCCCGACCCATCCACCCTCGCGCCGTCATCTGCCTCGTCATCACTCCCCTACCGCCTCCGCCTCCCCCAATCCCCACGAACCCCCTGCCCTCGAGCCGCGATCGGTCAAGGGGGCAAGGCTAAACCGTGATCCCTGGCGAAGTCAGCCCCGTGCATTGCGACCCGAGCAGCAATGTCCTCGTCAGAAGGCATAACCTTGTTATGCTGCATGCCTGGCGGGACCACTACGTCGCGCCAGCAGTGCAAAAAGGCTGGGATCTCGACTGGGCCCCACGTTCTCATATGCGCAGCACTAACGTTCCTCTTCTTTACGCAACCTGCATGGCGGTTGCATTTGAAAATCCAATTGGAATAAGGAACGCCAGCAGGCGGCGTGTAATCATTCAAACAAATCTCGCCGCCGCCGACCGCGGCCTTCCAGTCACGAGCGACCTTCGGCTTGGGGGCCGCGGCAGCGTCGGGCGGGGCGCCCTCCTCGCCAGCTACGACAACGCCTCCTGGCCCCGCGACGGGATCGGGGGGCGGCGGTTCGGGCGGAGGGGGCAGCGGCGGATCGGGCGGAGGCGGGGGATGCTCCAGAATCGGAGCGTGACCGCCTCCAGGGGGTGCGACGTGAACATGACCGCCTCCGTGGGGGGCGGCGTGGCCACCTCCAGCGGCCGCGGCCGCGCCGACAGCCACCTCCGCCCCAGCGACGACGATATCGGGAAGACCCGCAAGCACGGGCAAGGCGGGCTTCGGATCGATCCCTTTGTGCACGCACCACAACTGCTTGCATCGGTCATTGCCAAGACCTGGAGCAACGGCCTTGCCCACAAGAAGAAGCTTATAAAAAAGAATCGGCTGGTCTGACGGAAGCCCCCCTGGGCCGCAGATGCCTAGCACTTCTGGCAAGGACAACAAACACTGAAAGTAAGCTTTTCTTTGCGTGGCCGATCTGTCGTCATACTCTCGCCTATCATCGAGAAGTGCGCGCGCAACCCTGTGATTTTTGCGAGCCCAACCTCTGCGACGCAATTCGTCGCAGATGCAATATGTCGGGCAAGCCGCATCCATTAAAGGGATGTCTGGCTTCGCGTGGACAGGCGAGGACACGGCAATGCAGCACAGCACCGCTTCGCTAGCACTCACGACCGTCCACCGCTGCACGCTCCTGAACAATGCGTTGCCAGGTGCTACGTCACTCGGCAACACCCACATCGGGTCGCAATCCGAGTAGAGCTCCAAGCCGCCACTGCGATCACGATTATCTCGCCATATCTCCAAGGATTGAATGTAGAGCACCAGAGGAGACGTCAGCTTGAGGTCGTCGGCATCCTCCACCGTGGGCACGAGGTGGGGGCGCGATTTGCTCGTGGTCTTCCGAACGATCTGGAAGAATCTCGTGCCGGCGACCTCCACGGCGTCACCGTTCTCTGCAATGCCATTCTAGATTGTCGGCACGCTGAACACCGAGCCTGGCGTGAACGTGGCAAGCGCAAATTCATTGCGAAGCAGCTCGGAGCCAATCGCGGGCACGACGACAGGCGCCGCAGGAGACGCCACCCACACCTCTACCAAGCTGCCCCAGTCGTCGGTCACTGCATCATCCATCCTGTAAATCTTGTGGTGGACGCTCGTCGATCTACTCCGGACATTCTGCTTAGCCCTCCGCGTGTGCACCTGCAGTATTCTCTTGCAATGGCGCCACTCGTACTCCACGGCGGCCCGCCCAGCAGACTTATGCTTCAGGACGAACTGCTTCACCTTGGCCAAGTTTTCCTTCAGCCTGATCGACGCCTTGATGTGCAGCAGCCTCGTGCACGTTGCCCGATGCTTTTCATAGCTCGCGTGTCTGTGCCAACCCTCGCCTGGGGGCTCATCCAGCGGGCAATTCCGCAGGGCCCGCAACTCTGCAGCCAATGCTGGCGAGCAGGGGGCGCCGTCGGCTAAGGCCCTCAAGTCGTCGCCAAAAGCATTGAATATCTGCCTCGTCACTGGGTCGTGGTCCGCCAATGGCCGAAGACCGACTTGGCGGAGTACTTCGCGAGCATCGCCTGGATCGTCGGCCATTGCGAAGCGCCACGGCACGACCTCCAAATACCTGAACTTCTGGAAATCGTCGAGGGCATTCCGCAGCATGTGAACGACTAGCAACTTCATGTCGCCCGAGCCCTCGCAGTCATCCAGAGTGACGCCTTGGATCTTCGCCCGCATAGCATCACGCTGGGCAGAAAAGGTGGCTGACAGCTTCGCCCAGGCGCCGCCCAGCCTTCGGGCACTCGGGGCGCTTGCCGAGCGCCCGCTCAGCGTCGTGACATGCGCATCCCAATCCCCAGCGTCGCAGCTTCTCAAGCGGGTGAACCACAAACTTGTGAGATACCGACATGAACACCCAGAGCTCTTTGTTCCGACATGCTGCGAGAAAAGGCTTGACCCAGCCAGAGTCGCCGATCTTCTCGAACAGCGTTTCGTCGAGGTGCTCCTGGCACAAGGTCCTCAACTTCAGCAGCTGCGACAACACGACATCCAATGTCTCGAACCGCCACTTCGCGAGTGACGCCGTGAAGCTCTTCAGCAACATAGCGACGCCAGGGACGCTGTGCTTCAGCCCCCTGATCATGTGGACTCTGTAGGAAGAGTTGCGAAAACAATGGCACAGGTCCCTAATCGCGTTGCACCACTGCGGCCACTTCTCTGCGAGATGCACCAGTCGTTTAACTATGTTGCTGCAAATGTGACACCACCCCGAAATACGAATCGCATTTGGCAACAGCCGCGAAGATCTGTCGATCTGTCCGCCCAGCGCGAGCACAGGATGCCCAGCCAACCGCTTGTGGAAAGCGTCGAGGATGTCCACGCAGTCGACCAAATAGAGCTCCGCGCCCATGTCGGTCGTCGTCGACCGCACCTTGGACAGGAAGCTCCGCATATATTCAACAGCTGGCCCGCATATCGAGAAGACGACCCACAGGAACGCAAGCGCCTTGTCGAGCCGAGACATGAAGCCATGCGCCAATGAGCACCCTGGCAGGGTGCGGCGCTCGAAGGTGCCGTCGTCTTAGGCGAAGTCCGCAACCATGCCTTGGACTTCGGAGCCCAAACAATCGCTGGCGTCTGAAAAGATGTGGATGCTCACGATGCGATCCCTGACCTGCAGAAACTCCCGCCGATGAATAAGCATGCATACAACATCTAATCGCAGAATCGCACGTCTCAAGTTCCTGTCACTTGGCGTCTCATGCTTCTCGAGAAGCGGATACTCAGATGCATCTAAGTCAAACGCCCCATTACTCTCCATAATATAGGAAGTGGCATCTTGCAGAGCATCGAAGAAATTGGCCTGGGCCCTCAAATGTCTGCTAAACCCGATGGCCCTAATTGTCTCCATGGCCGTCTTGACATGATAACCTCTGCTCAAAACGACGCCGCCAGGATTCGGCTTGTCCCGCAATCTTGGGCGACTGGCTATATCGAGAAAGTCTTGCTCAGCAGGCTGCGCGACGACGACGTCGCGGCTGTCTGGGATACACCCCACTGCGCCCGACGAACTTTTACCCTTGGCCCATGTCATGATTGTTCGACGCCTCGGGGCATCGCAAATCACAGACGTGTACCGCATGCCCCTCAAATCCGAAAGAATTGGGACGATCCGAACAACGCGTTTGGTTACATGCAGCACTGTCTGGGCCACGTGCGGGGGTAAATGCATGGCGGCTGGCACGCAACCACCCCCGTGAAGAAACTCTGCCACAATGCGACCACATGGTTGAAGAAGGATGTCGCCCAAGCGTTCCGTCATTGCCATCACTGCTGCTGCATCTGCTGGGTTGCATTCATCATGACGGGCGCCCTGCAGACGTTCAAACTGCACGACATAATAGCACAGAAACCCAACACACCTCTCCGTGCACGCACCTCTGGGGAAACTACCCAGCGCCCGAGCCACACTCGCGCCCTCTTCGGTGAAGTCCGCAAGCTCCCACCTCATGGACGCCATGCCGCGCGCACGGATGCCCTCGCTTTCCGCGGGGTCGGCGCCAGCCTCGTCATCGCCAAGGCCGCGAGAAAAAAGCCATGCCAAGAAATGTCCACTAGTTTTGGCTTCTCGCGGGCCCCGCGCCCTGGTCTGCTGCGCGGGAAAGGGCTCTGGGGCGCTTCCAGCCACGACGATGTGGTCGATCCCAAACATAGCTTGAGCACGAATGGTTATTGAGAGATTCGACAATGAGGTGCGGGTCAGCCCCCGTCGAACTCTGGCTTCGCCCCATGGAACCCGCCCCCGTCGAGCTCTGGCTTTGCTCCAAAAGGGTTGTTATCGATTATGTGCTGTCCTACGTGTTGTTCTAGATACTTACGTGTTGTCCATATCATTCGTGTTATTATCAATACTGTGTTGTCCTACGTTTTGTCCTACGTGTTGTCCATGCTCATCATTTCTTACGCGGTGTCCTCGATACTGTTGATTTTGCCAAGCAGAACTGCGACTTTGTTCGGTGCGACGCGACGTGCATTATGCCAAAACAAGAGGAGCGCAAAAGCAAACATATTAGGAACAATACCGCTTTGGAGGGGGGTCGGGGCGAGGTTTGGAGGGGACGAACCTTAAACAATGGGAACTTCTCCATCGTGCCGCCTATCAGTGCAGGGTCTTGAACTCTGTAGGAGCGGCTTCAAGGCGTCTGGAGCCGTCGCTGCGGCCTCCCTGCAGCCTCTGGGGGCCTCTGAAGGCCCCGGGTTGCCGAAACCCTGTAAAAACGCTTGGGAAATGACTCTGTGCACCCCCATTTGCGTTAGAGCCTGCGGCCCCGGGGGCCCGGGCCCCGGTGCGCCGTTATATGTATTTATTTTCTCTGGGTTTTCGTCTTCCCCCCTAGTTCCAATATTTTCTTATATCTTCCTTGGGATCGAAGATTCATTGTGTCTGTGATTTTCCCCCTCCTGAGATGAAGCTCCCAACAAGCACGAAAAACATCAGGGTACCCTCCCCAGCACCGACCTCGATCTTGTACCTCGGTCCGACTGTACATTGAACGGTGCCCTCCGAGATCCCGAAGGACCTCACCGCACGGTCGGTCACCGCACGGTTTGAGGACCCTGGAGGCCCCAGTCGTCCGAGACGCCTCGGGAGAACCCACAAGGTGCGGCCACCGCACCGTGTGGGGGCCCACGAAAAGCCCGATTCACGAGACTGAGACGACACCCCATGGGCCCACGTCCAAATAAGTACGGCGCCGGAGGTCCAGGGCGAGCAGAAACCGCCGTATACGACTCCGCCGAACCAAAACGGCCGTGCGTTAACCCGATTCCGCCATCCCCGAATCCCACCTCACCACCGCCTGCTGGACCTTGATGTAGCCCTCTGCAGCTGGATACTCCCACCTTTCCCCCTGAGTGCACTGACTTGCACCCTTGCTAGCTCTCTCGCTTCTGCCTGATCGTGTGCCAGTTCGCCTTCCTCGTCTACCATCCCCAATATCTGTCCGCCTCCAACGCTGCCTTGACTGCTTCTCTCCTCCCCCTACCAACCACGCGAGCTCCCCGCGGCAGAAAGAAGTGATTGATTCGCTCGCGAGCGGACACGGCGTGCACTCGAGGCGCGCCATGAGGGACATCAGTCTGTCACCTGGAAAAAATGCTCGACTCGTCCACGCGGCGGCTGTGCGCCCGGCCAGATACTCGGAATTGTGGCAGACCCCATTGTCCACAAACAAAGCGCCACAGGGCCACGGAGCATGCCAGCCAGCGTCCCTCGGGGCTCCTCGAGCCTGCAGGCCAGAGACAGCTGAATCTGGAGGTTCGTCGGCGCTGCATGCGCACCAGTTTATATATATATATATGTGTATATATGTATATGTGTATATGTGTGTATGTGTGTATGTGTGTATGTATGTATGTATGTATGTATGTATGTATGGATGCATGCATGCATGCATGCATGCATGCATGCATGCATGCATGCAGGCATGCAGGCATGCAGGCATGCAGGCATGCATGTATGCATGTATGTGTGTCTGTCTGTATGTATGTATGTATGTATGTATGTATGCATGCATGCATGCATGGATGGATGGATGGATGGATGGATGGATGGATGGATGGATGGATGGATGGAGAGATGGATGGATGGATGGATGGATGGATGGATGGATGGATGGATGGATGGATGGATGGATGGATGTATGTATGTATGTGTGTGTGTGTCTGTCTGTCTGTCTGTCTGTCTGTCTGTCTGTCTGTCTGTCTGTCTGTCTGTCTGTCTGTCTGTCTGTCTGTATGTATGTATGTATGTATGTAGGTATGTAGGTATGTGGAGTTGGAGGAGGGGGTGGAGGAGGGAGAGGAGGAGGAGTTTAGGAGGATGAGGTCCCGTTTTTATATCGTCGAAGGCCGCTCTGGATTTTAAGCGCGAAAAGGGCCGCTCGCCAAGCCGGGCGCTGAGGCTCGCGTCCCACTGTCCGTCGCTCGCTCGCTTCTCTTCGCCCCTTTGCCCCTCCGCTCGCCCCCGCCTCCGACCGAGCCCCCCCTCGCCCCCCCCGGCCCCCGGAAGAAGAGATCCGTGCCAGTCCATAGGGCAGAGGGAAGCAATTACTGGACACTCTCCCTCTCCCCCAAAACTCCAAAAAGGTACGCGCGGGGAAGACTGCGGTTCGAGGTGCAACTTATCAGACCCACCGCTTACTTTGAACATTGGGGGGAGGGGGGGGGGGGGGGCCGTTGACAGATGAATGTGGCATGAGTGTTCGCCATTTCTCTCCGAGGCCTGCGGTTCATGCGATGCACATTTCTGGCGCGTTTGCTGCGCCAGTGGCCGCTCCGCCCAGGGTGTAGCATCCTTCTGGCCGGCTGGCCACCCCTATTGCCACGGCCAGCTCGTCATGACTCATGGCTTGGGTCCCTCCTGCTCGGCCACTTTGGGAGCCCGAGTGATCCGGGGTAACTCGGGTCTGGGGTAACTCGGGTTTGGATTCCCGTAAAACGAACCCGAGTTAGCCCTGACCCGAGTTACCCCTGATGATTTTGGGCTCTGGACGCCCGAACCATCTGGGGTAACTCGGGTCCGGGGTAACTCGGGTTCGGAATCCCGAAAAACGAACCCGAGTTAGAACTGACCCGAGTTACCCCTGATGATTCGGGGCTCTGACCACTGTCGTCTCGTCTCTCCTGCTCGTCGCGCCCTCCCCGCTCCTCCTGGGCTGTCGGCCTCTCCTCCCCCA